TTACGGGGAAGTGGGGGGCGGAGCGAGATGAAGCGGCAGATGTAGCTGTGTCCTCGTGGAGTGCAGCTGAGGGGCGATCAAGGGATCCCAGGAAGCATGATGAGGTAGAGAGTGCGACCTGATATCATTGGAGTACTGCTGGACCTATCCTGTTGAGTTTCGAGTGGCGGAGGGAGAAGACCCGATGGAACGCTGAGAGGCAGTAAAGCAGCAAAATTAATGCCAGAGGGAGAGACAAGCTAGCTACCTATGGTGTGCAGAGCTGGGGGAGTATAGTCCTGGAGTGCATCTGAATAAGTCCCTACTGATATATTAACTCTATGATATAAAAGGAGTCTGTAAAATCAATTGTTAATTGGCTTAGGAAGAACAGAGGACCGCACAGAGATTAATAGCTAGGGGGTACAAAAACAAAAAAACCCAAGTAAATTTCATTGTATTTAACACAGCCTTTGCTTATCAGACAGTCTGCAACCAGTTAGGAAGCAAGTCATATAGATCCTTGAGATTTGGAGAAGGGAGAAAAAAGGAGAGAAGGAAAAACTATCTGATTGCACATTGAGTATTAGCACGAGCAACCGGACGTGCAACAGTAGCAACACAGAAATTTAACACATTATTAAAACAATATAATACAAGCGTGTCTGGTCTTATATAGTGCCAGAACAAATTGGGGGTGGGTGCCTCCCCACAGGGTGCACAAAGAGTACCCCCGTGTAAGGATGGCAGTTCCCTGTACAAATCCACTGTGCGTTTGTATGCATTCCATACAACTTGCGATAACCCGTAAGTAGTGTTACCCCTCTTCTAGGTGGTGCTTCCCGTATGTAGGGAGTTGTGCTGCGTAGTGACCTATTTACAGTCCATAGCATGCTGTGGTTCGTTGGCCATACCATTACAGCTTAGCCAAGTACAAGCCTTTAGGGAGTGGATACCCTATCATGAATGTGCTTTGCAGGTGTCCCCCCAGCAAGTTTGCCGCCAGGGCCGGCCTTAGGGGTGTTTAGGGGCCTCAGGGCGCCATGGGAGCAGGGGGCGCCATGGGAGCAGGGGGTGCCATGCGGCTGACACAGCTCACACATGGCCGGCCGGGATTATAAAAAGAACAAACAAAAAAAGCATATATATATATATATATATATATATATATATATAACATCTATTAAAGCATATAACATTTATTAATATAATCTTCATACATAAGAGATTTTTTTATACATACATAAGGATTTAGATTTAAAAAAAAAAAAATTTAATAACTTTTTAAAAACAAAGAGAAGAAATATTAGTTATGAAGTCAACCCATTCCAGATGAAAAGATGAGATATGGAATAATCCAATGAAATAATGAATTGTGGTTGTACAAATATAATTTTGTATATTGTTTATTAATTGTGTATATTGTTTTGATTTTTTTATTGATTTTATATATTCTTGTACAAGTGGTTTCTGTATATACATATTCTTATACCCACCCTTTCTCTCCACATTTCTACGCTTCCTATACGAGTTTTGCATATATTTGGAGGTTGAATCATTTAATGACTGCAAAGTGGAACACAAGTTACATGCAACCCCCGATACCGGAAGTGAGGGATGGACATAATGGAACGCATACGTGGAACGCAAGACGTAATCACGTAATAACACGGGGAAGCCGCAAACCCGCAAAATGAGGAGAAGTTTCAGAACACCTAAACGGAACATAAGGAGCCAATCGGAGGAGACCCTTAACGAAGAAAGAACATATTTAAGGACTTATGGGGGGGAGGAGGGGTTTGTATATTTGTTATTTACTATCGTTTGATTGTCCCTGAGGAAGTCCTTTAACGGGATGAAAAGCATAGGACAACCTTTTTTGTATGCTGATACCGGTTAACTTCCATGTGAGTGAATAAATTATATTTATACTGTTGATTTGTATTGCCTGCTAACTGGATTCTCTATCATTTTAATATATCACCTGGAGGGAGAAATCTTCCTGATCCCTAGACTGAGCTGCATCAATGCTAATACTGAAGGCACATATACTTCTGACTATTGTGAGTGGCCATTTGTCACGTATCTAAAAATTGTACACAAACAGTTTTGCACAAAACGTTGTGTTATTTCTTCCCTTAATAGGATTCACCGAATATATATATATATATATATATATGTATACTTTTCTGGAAGTGACAGTTTCTTCTTCCCTCATCTCAGTAAAAATTATTGAAGGACTAATCCAGGTAAACAAATTAACATAAGTAAAAGAAAAAAGCAACAACTACTTACCTTTGCTGTTGTGGGTAGCGTTAAAGCATCAAACAAGATGCATTGATGTGCCATCTATACAGAAATGCAGTAAGATTACGTGTTCTCACGCATTTCCTACAAATGAATTAGCAAAATCAATGATGGCTTTATCTGATTAAAGGACCACTCTAGGCACCCAGACCACTTCAGCTTAATGAAGTGGTCTGGGTGCCAGGTCCAGCTAGGGTTAACCCATTATTTTTTTTTTATAAACAAAGCAGTTTCAGAGAAACTGCTATGTTTATAAATGGGTTAATCCAGCCCTCAATGCCTCTTGTGGCTGTCTCATTGACAGCCGCTAGAGGCGTTTGCGTGATTCTCACTGTGAAAATCACAGTGAGAACACGCAAGCATCCATAGGAAAGCATTGTAAATGCTTTCCTATGAGACCGGCTGAATGCGCGCGCAGCTCTTGCCGCACATGGGCATTCAGCAGAATGGGAGGAGAGGAGGAGTATCGGAGGAGAAGGGCTCCCCGCCCGGCGCTGGAGAAAGAGGTAAGTTCTAACCCCTTTCCTCTCCCCAGAGCCTGGCGGGAGGGGGTCCCTGAGGGTGGGGGCACCCTCAGGGCACTATAGTGCCAGGAAAACGAGTATGTTTTCCTGGCACTATAGTGGTCCTTTAATCTCATTAATGACATGTATGTACTGCTTTAGAGCAGGGGAGGTTGAAACCTGAAAATATGCTTACTTTATTCCACATAATTAACCTAACCACCTGAAACTTAATTGGCAAGGACATACCCCCGGCTAGCTGCGAAGAAACAACCCCATGGGGCCGGTGGGAGTGAAGCTGTTTGCTGGCCCGAATCCCAAGTGGCACTGAGGTAAGACCACCCCCCACTAAACTCACACACCACATAATCCCACCAAAACATTCATACACAACCAATCACATGCATCTATCCCCACACTCATACATGTGCCCTTGTCTGTTTAGCTGCGCTATCTCCCCAGGGCCTGTTCTTCTGCAGCAGAGGGGCTGTGGAAGGGGCAAAAGAGATAGACCAGGGCTTGGGAGAGAGACACCTAGAGGGGCTGGGAGGACACAGAGAGACACAGAGGGGTTGGGGAAGGGGCAAAAAAGAGACATAGAGGCTTTAACTAAACCCATTTGATTTTAGCCATGTCGACTAAACTCTACTGGAGATTTAATCGAAAAAAAATAAAACAATTCTGATGACTAAAATACGACTAAAACTAAAATGACTATTTAGTCAAAAGACTATGACTAAAACTGAATTCAAATTTGCCACCAAAATTACCGTATATACTCGAGTATAAGCCGAGTTTTTCAGCACATTTTTTTGTGCTGAAAAACCCCAACTCGGCTTATACTCGAGTCACTGTCTGTATTATGGCAATTTACATTGCCATAATACAGACTGGGGGCTGGCAGAGCTGTTACTTACCTCTCCTGCAGCTCCTGTCAGCTCTCTCCTCCTCCGCGCCGGTCCGGTCAGCACCTCGGTCAGCTCCCAGTGTAAGTCTCGCGAGAGCCGCGGGGTCATAGTGCGGCTCTCGCGAGACTTACAGTGTGAGCTGAGAGAAGAGCTGCACGGACCGGCGCGGAGGAGGAGAGAGCTGACAGGAGCTGCAGGAGAGGTAAGTAACAGCTCTGCCAGCCCCCTCCTCCCCCCACTGAACTGCCAATGCCACTGGACCACCAGGGAAGGAGAGCCCCCCTCCCTGCCATGTATCAAGCAGGGAGGGGGGACAACAAAATAAATAAATTAATAATACATAAATAATAATAAAAAAATAATTAAAAAAATAATATATAAATAATAAAAATAAAAATAATAATAAAAAAATTATTTAAAAAAATAATATAACAAAAAAAATTAAAATAATAATAATTTTTTTTAATAAAAATGCCCACCCCCCACCAAGGCTCTGCAACACAAACACACACTGCATCACACACACACACACACTGCACTCATACACACACACTGCACTCATACACACACACTGCACTCATACACACACACACTGCATTCATACACACACTGCACTCATACACACACTGCACACTCATATACACACACTGCACACTCATACACACACTGCATTTATACACACACTGCACACTCATACACACACTGCACTCATACACACTGCACTCATACACACTGCATTCATACACACTGCACTCATACACAAACACTGCACTCATACACACTGCATTCATACACACTGCACTCATACACAAACACTGCACTCATACACACACTGCACTCATACACACACGCTGCACTCATACACACACGCTGCACTCATACACACACTGCACACTCATGCACACACTGCATTCATACACACACACTGCATTCATCATATACACACACTGTAAATAAATATTCAATTAATATAATTTTTTTAGGATCTAATTTTATTTAGAAATTTACCAGTAGCTGCTGCATTTCCCACCCTAGTCTTATACTCGAATCAATACGTTTTCCCAGTTTTTTGGGGTAAAATTAGGGGCCTCGGCTTATATTCGGGTCGGCTTATACTCGAGTATATACGGTAACACTGCAGCAGTGTGTCCAAATGTTATGCTACAAGGGGTTTTAGAATTGGAACTCAACTGCAGCTTGTAGAACTCCTTAATTACAATAGCAAGAGAGCGGAGAATTATTAAGGATACTGTAGCTTTAAAGCAAAGTGGTCGTTGCAGGCAGTTAGTGAAGAAAGCGAAGACTTAATGAATGCAATAATATTTTAGTAACTGAGGATTATAACATGTAAGTAACAATGCATTAGGAAGTAACTGCAGGTTATATCAAGCAAGAAACAGTTCATTAGTAATTAAATCTTCAGAGGTAGAAGTGAATAGTATACTTAAGATTGCTGGGAGTTGTCCTCCATGGGAATAGCATGTAAGTAATAATTCATTAGGAAGTAACTGAAGATTATAGCAAGCAAGAAACAGTTCATTAGTAAGTAAGTCTTCAGAGATTAGAGTAATTAGTATACTTAAGATTGATGGGAGTTGTCCTCCATGGGAATGTATAGCTTGAATCCAAGGGATGAATGATATACACAGTCCGGTTTTCAGGAGACTCCAATACAATCCGTGGTCAGAGGTACAGAGAAGGCAAAGTCCTTAATAATAGTCAAAGGTTTGTTAACTTTGTGAACGAAGAGCTTAGCCGGCGTTTGAATGCGGAAGTAGGTCCGAGAATCACCAAGCGGTTTGAATCTGGCGCGGTCTCTCTATATAGCGTAAGAGAGCCACGTCAGAAAGGGGGCGGGGCCGGCTCCGCATACCGGAAACGCCGGAACAGATACGGCCTGACACCAAACACTACAGTAATATTGTGTTGAAGCATGTAGCTGAGCTGTCAGCTTCTATGTGTCCATTCTTTTCTTAATTCATTTTTTAACTTTGACATAGGAGTAGATGAGGTAATTTAAAATAACTGGCAAGTGCACATTGTACCATTAGATTAAATCATTCAGTCAACTTGTCTTCATAGCTTTTGAGGCTCTCAATAAATGAGAAACATGTTGGTGGGATGGCTTTTTCCAGAACCAGAAGCTATCTGTTCCCAGAACAGGCACCATTTTGTGCATGCTCACCACTGCAACTTTCTAGTCCAAATCTTGGATAGATATACCTATTGTTTTAGGGTACACAAGATTGTCAGAGAGTAGTTTAATTGAGAGGACAAACAACAGAGGATAAAGTGGACACCCTACCTGGTACCACTGAAGATGCAAAAGTGCTGTGGACTTTTTCCATATCCTTTTAACAAAGGCATTTTCAATGCAGCCTCATTGTATATTCCCAGAAAAGGAACAACATAATCAAGCATAAACAAATAGAACGTGATAATCAGTTGTCATTCATTGCCCTCTGTTTCTTTGAACATACTTAGATACAGTCAATATTTGATGATTTCAAGTCATACAGTCCTTCAAGGAAAGTACACAAAATGAAACTATCCAAGTATGTTGCTTTCCTTATGTAAGAATTATTCACAAAACTCTGAATTGTGGGAAACTGGGAACTGATAACATTTTGGCCAAAGTACAGAGTCAAGTATCAATAGACGTTGGAAAAAGAAAAGAAAAAAAAGTTTACTAGTATCAACCTCTTACTCATTACTTTTGAAGAGAAGATTAGCTAAATGTTTAAAAAAATAAAAAGCAGGGGGCGGGGCCGAGCCAGCAAGCTAAGCAGTCGCATGAAAGCAGGGCTCCCGCTTTATAAATTCTTTATTTTAAGACTTTTCTTTTTGGATATGAGGAGGGGTACAGAAGAGAAGGAGGGGTTGAGGGGACAGTTATAAGTACATTTTTGCATAGCATAAATAGATTTCCAACGACGATGATAATCATACGTTTACAGCAAGTTTGCAGATTGTTCGTCGGTGTTTGTAACATATATAGGTGTTACGATGTCTTCCTTATTATTCACATATTTGTTATATCGTGGGTGAAGGGGTACAGAAGATAATAAGGTTGTTATTGCTATGGTTCTGGACACACATTTCTGAACTTCAGTGCTATACCTAATGTTGCTATGGTGTGCAGGTAGTTGAGGCAGATCTACCTTGGTTAGTGTGGGCGGATTCGTTAGGGTGTCCGTAGTGGGGATAGTACCTGTGGGGCTCCCGCTTTAATTGCCGATTGTTCATAAATACTTGCAGAATCCAAGACAGAAAAACAAACCGGAGAGCACTACCTACTTCAGGGGTGACCTGGTGACAAGCCTGATATATTCCACAAGCGGTTTGGAGATCGGGAGCCTATGGTGGTTCGACGCGGCCTACAGATGATGGAACCGGGGAGAGGCGGCCGTTCTCCTCGCCCACATGCTGAGGGTACAGATCCACTGATGCCCTGCTCCCTCCCCAAGACCGGCGGGGGTTATCCCGGTCAAATCCTGAGAGGCAACCCTCCTGCAAAAACCCCAAAGGTGGAACCCAGCAGGCAGCGGGAAGACGCAAAGCCAGGTAAAATGGCTGCCACCACGTGCGCTCAGACCATGGAGAGGCCTGACCTCATGGCTCAGTTTGATGACCTATTCGACAAGTTCTGGCGAACACTAGCATCCAGGGAGCAAACCACTAACACAAGCAAACCAGCCACACACTTACCCACAGCGATTCCGAAGACCTCCCAACACGGGCGCACACCTCTCTGGGCACACAGAGCCCACACATGGTGCAGAAAACAGCCAAGGCGAAGGGCCGGCAAACCCACGCGACTGACAATACCAACGGCGGTGCTCCGCCACAACCAACACCCGGCAACAACTAACCTACCGGCAAGGCATGACAGGGAGAGCCTGCAGCACTTACACCTTACTCCGGGCGCTCAGATCCGCTCAAAATCATCCCGTGTCTGATATCACATCCGCAGGCAGGTCTCGAGTCCTTGGAGGGACTACCATGCCAACACAGCTGTCCAGGACATTGCCTGTGCCACTGGTAACCAAAACAACGGGAACCGCGGAATGGCTCTTAAAGTGGCATGGGGCCGGCAATGCGACCAGAAGTGGATGGCCGGGACACAGCCTCCATATGGGACTCTGATAGCAAACGTGGGGGTAGGGTAAAACCTACGAACAGGCCTGGGTGCATTGAGGATATAATGATTTTGTTGCTGTTCTAACTTACAAACCTGTCATGTATATCCCAATAAGGTATGCATGGGGATTTCCTCCTTACTCACTCTTTTATCTTTAACCAACACCACTAGGATTTACTTTAGTACATTAAGATAGAGGCACTGGCAACTCACAAGCAGTTAGTCTGTAAGCCTATCCCAGTACCTTATCTGCCTCACCTCACAACTGATGTGCTGATCTACAATAAGACACCCATTTATGCCAGTCACCCCGCTATTGTCTAGCGTTGGCAATCCTACCAGGCGTAATTTTTGTAATCAACCTATCACTAATATAATATTGTGCCATGATATTGTTTACCATGTTTTGCATATTAGCTAGTACCTGCTGCCGTGGCAATACAAGACACCTGTAATATATAGTAACTAGACGATGCTACTCTTGTTAACCTCTACATTATTATAAAAAAAGTGTGCATGCTTTCTCATATACCTCAATGTTACAAATAACTACAACACGCTAGAGGATTGCCGTTGGGGTACCTCACATGCGACTGTAACATGCATTTGCACTGCAAAAATAAAGAATTTAAAAAATAAAATAAATAAAAAGCAAAAAAAATAAATCCTTGTTAACTCGAAACTAGGAATTAAATTTATCATTGGATCCACACACTTGAAATAACATCTGAGATTTGTTTTCAGAATGGGAGGGCTTTCCCACCAGATGTGGAACACCATGCTGACTTTTCCAGCATATGTTTGTGTCAGTAACAGAGTAATGGTATCCATTGGTATGGTAATGTCCTGCAGAGGCGGCTCTCTAATTAGGCGGCCGCCTAAGGCCCCGTGCAAACTGGGGCCTCACGGCCACCTGAATTGCCTTAGGGCAGACTGACGTGTCGGGTCCCCAGCCTGTGACCGAGGACCCGACACAGGAGGGGGCCCGGTGGCTTTCACACTATATCACCAGGTGGAAGGCCCCTCCATTCAGTCTGCTCTTGGAGAAAAGCAGCCTCCAGTCTGCAGCTCCTTTGGGTGCACAGCTGCAGACTGAGGTGTCTTGCGATCAGCAGCAAATCAGAGCTACTGTTCTCTCAAACCATTCAATGCTACCTCCAATACTTTTTTCCTGCAATATTATTCTGTCTTCTCTTATCATTACACACACCCCATTAGATTTTTAGCACCTTTCCCTACCCACACCAGCTGTTCATTTTACTGTTTGACTCAAATTTGTGGTAGGTGTATTTTTTTTCTGGTGCAATTTGCACCTTTTAGAATACTAAAACATTTTATTCAAAACACTATCAACAAAATGTAAATGGGAAATTGAGCATACCCTGAAGTAATGACTGTGCTGCTTTTTGTCTCTGTTCTGTTCAAGCTCTGCCTAATATGTTTTACTTCCATAATATCTGCTACATCTTCATGCACATTACTTGTTTAATCCACTGTCACTTAAAGTGGCTCAGTCACTGTCGGGTGTTTTTGCACAGTTTGAAGCTCTCAAACTCCATAATCCTCTTCTTTTTTTTTGTTTAATTAGATTTTTATTCAAGATTTTCAAAATTACATAACAGGACACAATTATCACCAATTAAATATAATAACATACATTACATATTGTTGTATATCCCGTACCTATATTTTCCCATATCTTACTGCTCAACAACAACAAAGAAGAAAAACGTATAACAAAATAAAATCAATAAATCAGCAATATAATACATATTGTATAAGTTATCATAACCTGTTTCTCTTAAATATATTCTATAGTTATTAAATCAAAATTAGATGTTTTTTACCATGTGTGGAAAGAGAACTTTTCATCTAATATTCTCCTTTCCTTATCATTTATATAAATGAGTAATTTCTACAAAATTTAATCCAAGGAAGCCATATTACCAGATACTTCTCTCTCTAGCCCCGGACGGACCATTGTATCTCTTCCATATCTAGTGTTGTTTCAACTTTAGCTATCCACTGATCTATTTTAGGAATGTTAGTTTCTTTCCAGTAGATTGGGATTAGTGCATTGGCTTCCCCTAACAGTAACCAAAGTAATCTTTGTTTGTTCATATCCAAAAAGGAACAAGGCCATCCAAGAAGCACATGTGATGGCGTCAATGAAAACTTAAAGGGAAGTATTTCTTTAATTAATGTCTTAACTTGTTCCCAATAAATCTATATTCTTTTACAAAACCACCACATGTGTTCAATATCGCCCTTTTCCTTCTCACATCTCCAACACTGATACGCTACAGGATGGCTTAAAGGTATGCATATTTACTAGTCTTCTATACCACCGTATTATGTGCTTACAGAAGATCTCTCTTTTTGCAAAGCTTATTGGGGCCTCCATTGCTTTACAGAAAATCATTGACCAGTCCTTCTCTAATAATTCTACATGTAATATACAGGTGGACCTCGTTTTGCGATCTACCTGTTTTACGACGGCTCGCACTTGCGACCAGCTCTTTCGCAGGGTGGTAAGTGCGAGCTGTCGTGGGAATTAGAGGTATTCCCTACTCTGCTGCGTTCTTCTAGGTTTGGGGATATTTCCCCGAACATAGACAAATGCAACAGAGCAGGGATTCCCTCTAATCTATGTTCGGGAAAATTTCCCCAAACATAGATTAGAGGGTTTCCCTGCTCTGTTCCATTCGTAGAAGAACACAGCAGAGCAGGGAAGCCCTTGACTCCACACTTACCGACCAATTCGTTCTTACCGACCGGGTCGTAGGAACGAAACCCAGTCGGTAAGTGAGGAGTGTCTGAAATCCTCTTTCTTTAGCTTTTGGTGCTTCACCCACCAGAGGATCACATCTGTACTGTTCTCTAACACAGGTGCTACATTACAATCCTAATGTCACAATGACAAAACATGATGGCTGAAGCTCAAGCTTTAGTCAAGTTCTGTCAAACTAAGATTTTACCATAAGATAAAGTATGTTAAAATATATTTTGACCACTTTGGAATCCAACACATGAGTGCAGTCAAAGCTGCAGTAATGTCTGTGTTGTAACAGTATTGATGGAGAGAAAGAATGGAACTCTGAACTACTAACAGTGATTACAGCATCTCCATTAGCAAATGCTGGTGTCCATGTGTACCTAAACATGGTTTCTACATCCAGACTAATTAATGAGGGGCCTGCAGTAAAAGGTGTACAGAACTGACAAATAGGACAAGGTCATTCCACCCACTTACTGCTGGAGGGAAAGAACATGCAATTGATTCTAAACCATGAGGAGGATATGTAATGTATGTAATATTTCCACAATAAAGACAGCAACTAGATTTATTCCTACTGATATCCCTGCACTTTATGCTGAGGAGACATTTGGTTCACACATAAATCATGCTATTTTTCCTCCTCAAATTATTTTTCCGAAGCTTGGTAATCTTAACAGACAACAAAAGAAATCAATTTGGTACTGCAGATGGCTCACTTGAAACCTAGACACAATCTTAGGGGAATATTGCATCTGACCTTGACACGATATAATAATATAAAATTTAGCCCTCTAGCCCATACTAAAAGAGCTGGACCATCAACTGACATACTTTAAAGGAAAACTCTCATGGCCCTCTCTCCTTGAGTGCTTCCACCTAAATTATCCTTGATTCTTCATTTTGTCTGGAGATGACAGGAGATGTCATCACAATGTGAAAGCACAGCCAGCAAAGTAGTGTGACATTTATTTGGGTAAGTTCTGCTGTAACCAAGGATCGCTTAAATGGAAGCCCTCAAGGAGGGAAGCCTCGGGACCTGACAATGGCTGAAAAGGTACCTTGGAAGTAGATGCAGATATTAGGGACTTATTTACAAGTAATTTCTTCAATGTGATTCCATAGTGGGAATGTCGCCTTGTGTGAGTACCACTTATTTTAGGTGGCTGAATTAACATGTATTTGTGAGTATAAAAAATAAAATGAAATGTAGAAATTTACACTACTTCATCCTGCTACTGGGTGCTTCCATCTTACATCTCTACCAGTTCTTGTTATCAGCTTTATCATTTGCACTTGGCAGTCAGCATAGAGAAATAATATAGAGAAGAAATATGTTTTATTTTTTTCTCTCTCTCCTCTTCATTAACATTTGCCTAGCTTCACTTGGTCTGAACTGGATGTAATTTGCTAAATCTGTGATGTAAATTTTAGAATCAAACAGAGCATCTCATGAAAAATGGGTTAACACAAGTTATATATAATTTTCAAGGTTTTGTCCAATGGTGTAAAACCTTCGTTAAAAGTTCCCTCTCGCTGAAGTTATATAGTCCTTTCCCCAAACATCAGAAGACACTTGGTGAAGGGTAAAACACAGAGACAGATGTTGCAGATCTCAGTACTCAGGCTGAGTACTTCCATTTGTACAATCTTCAAACAGGAGAAAGTTTGATTATAGCTTAATCCCCAAACACTAGACATCACATAGTGTAGGGTAGAGCAACAACTCTGTTCTATTAAAATCAGCACGTCTGTTTATACCCCAACAGCCTAATTTACATACTATAGGTTTACAGTGGTAAACAAAGTTTCCCTTCAGGTCCTCCTCCATAACCCCCTCCCAAACAGCACAGTGAGCCCAAGCCAACCAATAGCAGTATGGAATTGGGAGGGTAACCAATTACACTACATAACTTAATAACATTAGTGTGAATGCAGTACTGTGTTTACAAAAGGGTGGGGACAGACAATAACAAGGACGGAGGACAACATGGGAGATTTAAGGGAGTGGCATGGCAGCTATTTTGAACTGGTCTGGAACAATGGGACCAACCAATAAGACGGGAGAAGGGGAAAAAAATAACTTGCAAGAAACAAATACATTATACACACCCAGCACCTATAATTGGCACAAGATGACTAAAACATGAGTGACCTGGGCACCTACATAAAGTATGTGTCTTCTGTCCCCAGTGATGGTGATTACCGTTACACAAGTTTATTCACTTTTAAGAATTGTGTCTCAAAAGGAATATGATATCATTACACAAATATACAGTCACCCAAACTTTAGGTATTACTGGGTAAAGATTCAGCCTCATTTCCTCAAGGTTGATTAAAGCATTTAAGACGTGGTGTATACTAGACCATTTCATAATTTAGCACACTTCACACATGCTAAGAACAGTATACCCAGCACTGGTATTATTGGCTAGGTGTCATGTCTTTCCTTGAAGCCTGTTTGTTCCTGAGAATGGCACCAATTCCCCTCAGAAGATAATTAATTCAGTTCATGAACAGTGGGATTGCTATTCTTTGCCTGGGGCATTTTCATTGTTTCAACTACAGGGGGCGGTCTCCTGCTTTCTTACACAATTAAATTGCTCACTTGACATTTCTACATAAACAATCTAGAAGACTTTCATCTACTGTTTATGCTGATTTTTCATTATGGTTTATGAATTGCAGTCAAACCACTGTTTATTAACAGGACTCGTTATAGGACAAGAGGAAAGAAAGGTTACGAATATAATACTTAAAGGGACACTATAGTCACCAAAACAACTTTAGCTTAATGAAGCAGTTTTGGTGTATAGAACATGCCCCTGCAGCCTCACTGCTCAATTCTCTGCCATTTTGGAGTTAAATG